CCGAGGCTGCTCGTTGGGTCCCAGTGAGCTCACTAACTGTCTTCCTCATTCCATCTAGGGAAAAAGGTGCAGGTGCTTTCTGGCCACAAGGACTGGATTAGCTGCTGCTGCGTCTCATCCGACTGCAGCATGATCGCTTCTGTTGGCAGGTTTGACAGAGTGAGTCTTTTGCATCCCTCCCACTCTTCATGATGATTTTAGCTCCTTACCTGCATCTTAAGATGCATCACTTGTAAGGATAACACATGCAATTGAAACCAGTTGTTTACATACACTGTATAGAAAGACATTATTTATTTATTTCACTTTGAAACTTAATCAGACTGGATTAGAGAATAATTTAGTTTTGTTAAACTAAAAACTAGATCAGAAAAAATGGATAATTTTCAATTGTCAGAATCTTCTTAAATCAGTGTTTTGCTATTTAAGCTTCTCACAGCAGTCTTTTTCTCTCTAATTTGGTATTTTTCTTCATCATTATGCGATGGCGTCAGCTTTGTAGGTCGCCTTGCTTGCACATACATTTTCTACAGGATTGAGATCTGCGCTGTGATGGATTCTTGAAAACAAACAAATGCTTCTTCTAAACCTTTTATAGGGCAAGTTACAAATTTTGATCACTTGCATAGGTCTAGAAGCACAAGATCTATATCCAGCCATTGAGAAAAGACACTGCTACATGGCTGTATATCTTATTTTGGCATTTGACCAATTAGATGAACCCTTGAATGAAATATTACCTACTGTAAATTAAGTTTAAAAAAAGGTAAAAAGCTAATTGAAAAGTTTAAAAGTTAATAATCCTAGTTAACAATTATATTTAGGTTTATAAAATGAAAAATGTAAGTGCCAGTATCAGCATTATTGCCTCTAAGGTTATGCTGTACCAAAAAATGTATTTCTTTCCCTCTGAGTGATCTTCATGAATTTCTTATAGAAGCACTTTTGTTATTTTTCTTAATATATTCGGGAAAGTTGGCTTTTCTTGTTATTATCTTGACATTAATTTTTGCCATCAAAATATCCATATTTTCTGAATGTTACAAAGGTAATAAGGTCCTTTCCTGGATGCCAATAACACTATTGGCTTGAAATTTGGATTTCACTGAGTCCCCTTTAAAGGGTTAAGTTACTTTGCAACTTAAGGTGCTCCACTTGGGGTTGTTGTACATTTAGACGTCTCATTTGTTCCCAAAGTTTAACCTCCTGGCTGTTATTTAGGATATTTCTTAGAATTTCTGTTAAATATTTTTTTTTTCCTGCTGATCCAACGCTTTAGGTGAAGCTGCCCGGTGCTTTACAGCCTGGATGGTTTTCCTTCTAAAGCAATAATTTTCATTTTCTGAAATGCTCTATTTACTCTCATCAGACCACAGGTCTTGAATAAAAAATGAAAGTGTGCATTGGGGAACTGGAATTTCTCCTCTCTCTTACCAATCTCAGTGAAGATCTTCAAACTGTGTTTTGTATTTAATTTCTAAAGTTTTTTGACCTATTTTTTCCCCAGGGCTCAGAAATAGACATCTGGAAACTGTATCAGGTGAAATAAAAAACATGTAGGGGATGATTTTTATTTTATTAAACTCACTTAAGGCTCGTTTCTGTTGCTCTGAGCCTGCAGTGTTATGCTTATCTGCTCCTGTGTTGTCAGAGGACTGACGGGGAGTTAAAAACTTTGCCGCCATCTTTGTTCTTTTCACAAGGAGCAGCAGGGTAGAGCAAACTTGACACTTTCCCAGCTGTTGCTTAAGTAATACCAGATTCAGTGAGTCCTGCTGACGAAGCCCAAATGTGTCTGAGAGTCAAGTTACGTGTTTTGTTGTAGTTCATACAGAGATTCCCAGGGTTTAGAAAACAGTTCAAACAGAAAGCGCTCTGAACCCTTCCTGATCTTACTTTGACCAGATGGTGTGCCTGTGGAGTCTACGCTCGTATACGTTCATCAGGAACCTGACCGGGGGGAACAATAAGAAGCTGTGCCTCCTGTCATCTTGCGACTTTTCTCCAGACGGAGCCGTTCTCGCCACCGCGGCCTTTAGCGGCTCCAGCTGGTGGATCGACCTCTGGGATCCTTACACGGCTGAGAAACTGGCCACTCTGGCGTAGGTTTTTCCTGGAGTTTTTCTGTTTTCCATCTTTGGCTATAACGTACAGTCAGTGACTTCTGCTGCTTTTTGACAGGGATTACTTTGAAGATTATGGACAGAACCAAATCTCTGCAATACAGTTCTCCCCAGATGGTATGCATCTGGCAATCGTGACGGATGACAGGCAAGTGGTTTGTCACTTCCGTTAAAATGTATATATAACCGATCGGACAAATGATTTCAGACTAATTTGTTGTGTTTCTGCAGAGCTCTGAGGGTCTGGGAGCCTGGAGATCGACATATGACAATGCAGACGAAAAGAGACAGAGACTCCAGTGGACTCTGTTGCAACTACCATCCACAAGGAGGGGTCATCGCAACCGGGTAAAATGAAGAGTCAATAATAATGTAGATGTAGAAATTACTACGTGGAAAATTATGACATCTTTTTTTTTTGCGTTATTTGAAGACTTTATACTGCAAAAGCCAATAAGTCCTAAAAGCTTAAGTGTATAAAGCAGACAACAAACCACATATTCCTTGTCTGCAGGTTAAAAAGCTTGATATTAGCTTTTTTTTTTTTTCCAGTATTCCAGCATTCTTTTTCATGTAATTCCAAAACAATTCTAGAGTTCAATGCCTGGTGTTTTTCTTTGTGCCAGTTTAAAGATGAAAGCTTACTAAAAGAGCCTGTTCTTTCATAGATGATTAACAAAAGGATGGATGATAATGAGATCAATGGGCAGGGATGAATGTGACCTTTGGACAATAAGATGCAGAATGAAGTCTGGAAATCTGACTAGTTTTTCCTGCTCTGATCGGAATATCGGTCACAATAAGTCTGTCCTAAAAATGGGTTAAACAGCACAATCCCTGTTTAACCCATTTAAGGGGGAGGGGGCTCCCACTAGTGTTGAAAAGCTCCTTTCTGTAAATGTTAACATTTCCCACCCTGGGTCGGATAATCTGTCACCGTCAGGGCCTTTTATTGAAGCCAGAATATTCAGCAGGACGACAATGAATTTTATTTATTTAACCTTTATTTTACCAGGAAGTCCCTTGAGATGAAATCTCTTTTTCGAAGGAGACCTGAAATAACGAACAAAACTTCCTGATTTATTTACTTTACACAAAAAGTGAATATGAACTGTTAGTGGTTCACATTTAGTGTCCTGAGAGCCTTAGATGCATGTTTAATTTTTATTTCCTTTAATCTCATGAACACTGGCATTGCACCAGACGCTTAGGTTTTTTCATTAACTAATGCATTCACTGTAGAACTCCAAATAAAATGCACTCTCTTTAGTTAAGTGTTTGTTGACTTTTAGTCAAAATTTATGTTGACAAAGATCCTTTAGGTTCACTTTAAATCATGGCCCAACATGGCTCCTGTGTGGGATCCCAACTAAACAGCTCATAAATGCACAAAGTCAACGTTTCTACGTGGTCTAAGTTTTGGTTGAATCATTTGCAGGGTTTACGTGAGAAAAGGAAATATCTTTATGGACCCGAAGGGAGGAAATATTTCCCGATCGGAGGTGAAGGGATTTGCTCAGGGAATCGATGATCTTGCAGCCTCTCCATAATGCAAAACACCCGGATTTCTGTCAACAAGGCAAACTCTGGAAATTAGATTCTGGATTTTTTTTTAACATTGAATATTAAAAACGCTCCATAATTTAAACCAGTTAATGGCCTTCCTTAAGAACATTAAAAATGATGTTTTAACCTTAATAACTTATTGAAGTGTTTAATGCCATGTTTGAAAAACAAAAAAACATGACCTAAAAGGTGCAGCATCTTTTTCAGATGTTGAATCAGCAGCTCCGGAAGTTCGGGAAGCCTCATCTTAGTTTTATTTATAAATTTTTTTTCTGCCTTTTTGTTGTTGGGCTTCAGAAGCCCCAGAGATCAAGAACTGATAACTGGACATTTTTAGATTATTTTGTGGCTTAAAAAATCCTGTGATTTTGAGCAAATGTGAATACGAAGAAGGTATTAATGTGGTGAAATAGTAAGTTTGGTAAGATGACTTCATTAGAAGGTTTATTGTTCTGAGTTTTAACCAAATGGGGGATAACAGCTTTAACTGTGGTTTGACAAAGTCCATAAAACCTTTCCAAACTGATGGGTGTGAATTGATTTTACTTTTAGATATTCGTCTGCTTCACGTTGTTAAACAGGTTCTTTTTGGTCTATTATATTTTTTTTTGTTCTATAGACTTGGAGTGTTACATTTTTTTACTTTTTCAGGTTCTGTATCTAAAAATATTTGTTACATCTGAAATATTTAAGTGTTGACAAATAAACCTGTGAAGTTAAATGGTTTTTCACAGAACCTTAAGTCATTCCTCGTTCGTTCTCTTCCTGCAGGACCAGAGATGGCCAGGTGAGGTTCTGGAGGTCCCCCAGAACCGTACCCAGCTTGTGCCACCTGTGCCGCTCCATAATGCGGCACTCTGTCTCAACGCACCAGATAGAGGCGCTGCCACTACCCAAAAGGATTCTCGAGTATCTCACCTACAGAAACATCCCTGAACGCCTCAAGACGTGTTCCTCGTCTGACGAAGAGGACTGGGAGAGTTAAATAGGAATAATAGCTCAGATTATACCTTAGTAACCTTATAGACTAATAAAAATGCCTTTTTGTTTACTGATAGGTTTGAGGGATTAATGAAAACAATTTAGCAACGTAATCTACTTTAGATTCACCAAGGGATTTCATTTATTGCACTACCACTTTAATACGATGCATAAAAGTTCACGTCTTGAATATTACAGTTTTATACAACTAATTTATTGTGTAAATAGGAACTGTACATACATATGTTTCTAATTCCTGTGGTATTAAACAGCAGGTTTAGCTCTGCTTAATTTGCACATGTTTATTGTTAATAATAAATAACCCCAAACTGGATTTAAAGAACAAGGTTTTATTAAACAGATAGAAAAGGAAACATTTACATGTCTGATTTTCTTTTCTCACAATGATGGATTTTATGGTAACATGAACCAGTTTTAACTATGCTGCTCTAGTTACAAATGTTGGGCTCAGTTTGTACATAGATGTAAGTGACTCAGACTGGCATTTGATTGGCGAACATTGCTGCACTGATAGAGAGGTGGACAATCATGCTAGAAGATTATCATTTTATTCCTGTGAGTGATTCTGCATTTGACACAGAGGTCATGACTGAAAAGCACTTTTGTTGCATTATTTCTCACAATCAAGGCCGTCAGTCTTTTTTGGTCTAATTTGGGATGCAGCCACGTGATCTACTTGCCAATTTTGCTTTAGAGCTATGATGAGCCCTAATTTCCCCAGACGTCAGCTCTTAAGAGGCTTCACTGACCACCATGTCTCTGACTGCCTGGAAAGCTGCAACCATAGAGCTCAGCTGGATCTTTTCATCCGTTCCTGAGGCCAGCCGATATCTAAAGAGACGTTACACTATGAGAAGAGTGGTTTTAGCAACAAGTATTTATGCAATTAGTAGTAACGACTTATACTCACTCTATATCAGCTAACTTGATCAGCAGGCCAATCCGAATAGCTGGAGGAAAGTCCACTTAAAGAGGGAAAAACAATTCAGATATTAAATTTTTCTGAGCAAACAGATTAGGTGGTATAAATCCGTGACAGTGAAATGGAAAAATACCATAACATACAGCTGCAGGCAGCAGATAACATACCCTTATTGTGGCCATGAATGGCTTTTAATGAAGTGATGGAAATTTTCTGCTTTCAAAGCGGATGGACTATAAAAGATTTTAAGGTAATGTCTTAAGAATTAAGAACCTCATCCAAACGGGACAAAAAAAAAACAAAAAAAAACCCAGACTCAAATATATCTAATCCACACTGATACTTGGTGAAATCCACTGTATCAAAATCTTTTTTTTTAGCCGATTACAAGCATCAACATCATTCTGGTCTAAGATTTGACAGCATTTTCTGGCAGACAAGCTCATTAATAGGGAAACTAATTAATAGGGACAACAGTTTTAAAAAATGGGTTCATTTCTCAAAGCTTTAGCTACACTGACCTCTGCTGGCCAAACATATGCCTGCAGTCTAATTAGGCTGGTCGTTGAAGTTTTTATTTTTTATTTTACTGTTTATACAAATGGGATCTGAAAAGTGCTAAAGCTTGCTTAAACCTAAACCCGGCAGGGTAATGCGCGTTTTTTTAAATGGCATCTAGATGTGGAGGATAAAACAAGAAAATAATTTCCGACAAAGGATTAATAAAATGATTCTGAAATGTATCCAGAGCCTCATAAACTGTTTTTAAGGCACTTTGAACGTAGCTTAATTACTAAAGCCAGTTAATTGACTTTAGCTTTTTTTCAGAAACCAATAATTGACTGGAATTCTTGATCCAAACAGTCTTTCTTTCTTACGGAGAATGGTTCAAAAAAGAGAGGAAAAAGCCATCTTTATAAGAGAACAATGGCTTATTTCATACAGCAAAATACTGCAGAATTTACTGCAGCATTCATCCCACTACAGGCTGGTGCCGCTGTACTGGTTAGGGATATTTTCCTGGCACACTTCAGACCCAGCCGAAACAGCAGCCGACCAGAACACAGTATCAGTGTGCAAACATCCCTTTATTGCTGCAGGGCAGCCTTTTCCTGTTGGCTACATTCTGCAGGATACTGCATCCCATCATAAAGCTCAGATGATCTTTTACTGGTTTCTTGAACAGAACATGTATCGTGTACGTACAGCCGACATATCTGCAAAAACCGTGTGATCCCATCAACTCCAGGCAGCTCCGTGGTACCGAGAGGGCTCAACTGGGCATTACAAATTATAACAAGGGAGATTTGGGGGATTTCATGGAGCTAATTTCACCATCTCAGAGTTTAGGAAATATCCATCAACATCAAGACCAGTGAGTGACAGTAAGAACAACCCATCAGGTGATTTATTTCAGGCAATAAATCAGCTGCTGCTTGTGAAATCTGACTTCCGCTTTCACATTAGGGGGAACATCCTAGAAATCTTACCAATTTTATCCATTCCAAGCCATTAAATATAAATTTTTATTTTATTTTTGGGGCGACGATTTAAATAAAACGTGACATCTGGATCTGAGCAGTACTTCAGCCTAAAAGATAACGGTCTGTTGTCCTTACTAGTGGCATTTTAAAAGGTTTTTTAAAGAGATTCAAATCCATCTAGAACCATATGAAGTGATCAAAAAAGTGATTAGGTCAAAGGAACTTAAATTAGATCAAACTGAGCTTTTGTGTGGAATTGTGAGGTAGATAAAAATAAACCATAAGACCAAAAGTAGTTGTCTACTTTTACATCAAAATGTTTATAAACTTGAATAAGATCCCACTGTTTATCTGTAAGGTCCAACATCTTTCATAGGGTTTAGCGGCGCGTTCAAAGTTGGATAAAGTATACAGATTCCAGCATCTATTCCAATTCATCCAAAAGGTATTCTTTAGGCTTGGAATGAAGATTCCATGCAGGCCAAACCTGACACACGAGGAGCCATAAGATTGGAAAAATTTAAATGATTGATTTTAACATTTTAGTGAAGCATTTATATAAAACTGGAAATTCAAAATGTCCAGAAAATGTTGCACTAGCAGGTAGAAACAGGAGCTGTTTTCTATCTTACCTCTGTGGATGAGCAGATGCACCTCAGAGAGAATATCATGCAGAGCCAAACCCTTCAAAGTCTTCAGCTCCAGAATTTCTTCAAAAACATTAAGAGTGTAACACAAGCTACCGATCAAAGTCATCTAAAACAAATGCATAATACATTTTCAGCAAAGTGAACCTTCATTTAAACTTAAGCTGTCATGATAATCGGCCTCCATATTAACTGTAGCTTCCAAGGATACGTTTATAAGCTGAAGTAAAGTCCTTGTTGAGGCACCAGTCCAGGATGTTGGCCATGTCTGAGCGGAGTGGGTGGCCTGTGCAGGTATACACTGTGTGTTCTGTGACCTTCTCATACGCCATACTGGTGCTCTGAAAGCACAGACAGGCCCAGCAGAGTTTCTATTAGAAGGAAAGATAGGGCCCCGCCGAGAGCAGCAGATATCAGCTTTTTAGTCGTACCTGCAGGATGTTGAGTGATCTTCTCATATCACCTGACGATAAAGTGACAATGGCCTTTATTCCGTCTGAACTGACATCAATGCTGCCAAATAGGAAAAGGAAAACAAATAAAGATCAACTGTAAGTTTTCAAGCATATCGTCTTTCTGTGGGCGACAGAAATGCAATGAAGGCTTATCTACACTCGACAATCAAATCTTAAGCGAAACCCAAATCAAAAGAATGAAAAGAACTTCAGCTGGAATATTAAATGAGCCCAATGGAGGCATCACCAGCTGAGTCATGTGTTACAGGCAGGGGTAAACAGATGTGGAAGAGACCATCCCTTCTAGGTATTTCAAGGTATAGTGGAGGATTTTAGTGAATTTTTTTAAAAGACCCGCCCTCTCCACTTAAAAAAAAAAAAATATGCAAATGCTCAAACCTGTACCTGCTTCCGAGAGGGAACACCTGTTAAATGCACGAGAGTGTGCACGAGCCCATTTCTCCTCGTGCATGCTCTGTTGAAAAGTTGCTGTTTGCATCACTCATACAACCTTACCTTCCAAAAGGAGATTTGCAATTTTTCCACTATGTCACGAGTCACCACCGGTAAGTGAAAATGGGGATGAGCACATAGGACAGCCTTATGTAAACATATCACCAGAATGGTTGACAATTAGGAGGACCACTTATTCTGATGATCCACCTGGAAAAACAACATCCTCCGCTATACCTTTAATTTCTGTTAGTCAACGTATGCGTATATTTACAGAGACTAAACTACTGCTTCGCTAAAAAAAAAGAGTAACTAGTGCTGAAACGACAAGAGGGATTAACTGTGGTTAATCTAATATTGAAATAATCAACTGATTTAGTAAATAAATAATTGTTAACTGGAGTAAAAATATTGAATGTTTCATTTGCTGAAATAACAAGCTACTTAGAGCTTTAATTAGGCCAGAACTACAAAAGATATTTAAAAAATTGCATAAGTGTAAATAAGCTCTATACAGACATAGTTTTATCTGGTTCCTAATGAGCTTTTGCTATCTGGCTTTTAATTGTTTAGTCAAACGTATAACAAATTAATTGTTAAAATTAATTCATGTAAAAATAATCTAATCACTGTGTTAAAAGCTGGACGAACATAATCCTAAAGTGACCCTTTTTCCATCTCCACAGTTTTTGCTAGATGATTATTAAACCCAAACCAGTAACAGAATTCAGGACCAATAACTGCTGGATGTTTTCCTACTTCTCCTGCTGGATAACGTGCTCCAGTCGAGGGATCATCTGGTCCGGAGACAGAGGGCCGAAGCGGAACCTGGTGCAGCGAGACTGCAGGGCTGGGATGATCTTGGACAAGTAGTTGCAGATGAGGCAGAATCGAGTGTTTTCTGTGAACTTCTCAATGACTGAGGCAGATGGAGAGAACAACAAGAAAAAAGGGAACCAAATATCAGTGTGGCCATTAAAGGAGAAATATAAAATAACATTTAAAATATTTCAAAGCCCTGTACTTAACCTTTTTTATTACATACCAATTTACAAATAGTTCAATAAAAATGCCTAAAATGTATTTCAAATCTCTGAATTAAAGAGACAGAATCAAAATGCAACACAACATTTGCGCTTTGCAGAAGATAAATATTTAAAAATTCCAAATAAAACCTTCACCTTCAGTACAAATTAGGGCTTTAAATCTGCCAAATATGGCAGTTTTAAAAAAGCACAAGCAGGCAGATACATTTATTCACAAGCGGCCAAATGATGTGCTCAGTGAGGCGTGCAAGCTCACAGAGGGCAACGCCCAGGAGAACAGATGGCTCACCTCGTCGCAATGCATTCTGGGCATCCTGGGTCATAGCATCGGCCTCATCCAGTATCACCAACTTGAATCCCTTTCTGAGAGATGAGAGGGATCCATAAACCGGAGGGAGCTCATAACTCTACTTTCAGTTATTTAACATCTAAACTAAGTGGAAGCATCTGCTTTTAAAAACAGGGAGCATTATTTACTTGAAAATAGTCCTGGTGCTGGCAAAACTCAAAATAGGACCTCGGACGACGTCAATCCCCCTGTCATCTGATGCGTTGAGCTACAAAACCATATCAGCCACATTAGAAGGTTAACTCAAAAAGAGGGCAGGTCTAATTATTTAGAAACCTCAATATCAAGTGAAAAAAAAAATATTCAAACACACCTCCAACACCATGGAGTTAAACTCTTTGTCCTTGTAGAGCTGCCTTGCACAGGCCAGGATCGTGGACGTCTTTCCCGTTCCAGGGGGGCCGTAGAACAACAGGTGGGGAAGCTTTTCCTCACTGATGAATTTCTGGACTAAAGTGTTAAAAATAAAAAAAGTCTCCATTCAGTTTTTTTTTATTTTATCCTCTTTATACAGACAGCCACTGGCTCATGGTTTTTAACTCTAGCAGTGTGATTAAATGACGAAAATACTCACTGGTGCTCAGAATATCTTTGTGTGAAATCAAATCATCAAGCGATTGAGGTCTGTATTTTTCAACCCTGGAATACAAAAAAAGATGCAAAGCTCCCATTGTTATTTTCATTCACAGTTAGCCTCTTTAACAAGCATTACGGCCGAGGATGTTTGCAGGACTTGATGCACTAAATAAATAAAGCATATAATGAAAGTAAGTTCAACTGAAACAATATTTGAAGTTGAAACACCACTGTATGAAATCTTAAGTTTAGTTTATACTATCCTCATTTCCTGGGGTATAAATATAAATAAGCAAAGAGCTATTGTGCTCTGCTGACTGGAGATGAGCTTGCTGGAATATTCACAACAGCAGATCTAAACGTGTAAAAAAAAAAAAAAGACTCCAACCAGCCGATCTAACCCTAACAACCAAGGTCAGTACAAGGTCACTCAAATGTTTTTTCCCCTCTACTATGATTCTCAATTTGAACTTAAGCAAGTCATCATCAACTTTTATAAACGGCTAAAATAAGGATCCACGTTTTTCACTTCTGTTCCAATTATTAAATCTGGATATCTGCAGATCTAGATTTTTTATCAATACCAGATCTGTTTGATTTAATGTTATCATGATTACTCCTGATTTTTAGGAGATTTTTTGTCTTAAACTTCTCTCTACAAGCAAGTAAATGTATGACTTTACTAATCTATATCCCAAAAGGAAACTTGAGATCAGTCAGAAGAGCAGGTCATAAAAACAGTAAATCATGTTAAAAGGAAAGATTCCCTCCTTAAACGAATATACATCTATAAGGGTTCAAAAGGACATTACTTATCAAACTAAAGAGATGGCCATAAAGATGTAAACTTTTCCTGCAGTTCAAGATATTTTATTTTAATCTAACTTAAGGTGATCATCAAAATAGATAGGACAGATCTTCCCCTTATGGATCAGGGCCGTTTTTTTAAACACAATTTAGAATTTTCCTAAATATTAGGATAAATAAGGATATTAATATCAGATTGCTGCATCTCCCGCTGAAATCAGTCAGCCATCTGATTGGCTGATTTAAAATATGTGTAAATAAGTGACTGTGTTTTCACTGAGCCACCTGATAAATCCCAGGACCACTGGGACATTGTTAGTTTTTATTATAAACAAGTTATTAATGTTTTTGTCAAACCTATTTTAACATCACACAGTTTAATAAAGTGATAGACATTTTTTGGCCATGCATTGTTAACATGACTCATAATCAGCAGATTTTTGCGTTTTCTGGTTCATTGGTGCATTTATGCCTTGAGATCGCATGGACCAAATGCAATGTCACCCCCTCCATTTGTAGTATTTTGTTAATAAACGATTCCCAGTTGTTTAATTTGAGACCTACGTAATATTATTTATCGTCGTCACTCTACCATCTAAACAGAGAAAAGAAAAAAGAACAAAACAATATTGGCTTAAAAAAAAGGCCCATAAAAATTGGTAGCACATATGGGAAAGTTATACTAATGTCAATGTAATCGGTATCAGTCATAAAAAAATCTTGTATCGGTCCATGTCTAGTTGATGCATTTTAATAAGCAACAAGGAAAGCTACAGGATGAATTCAAATGGGCTTGATGGAAACCGACAGTTAATATTTATGCTTCTCATCCAACAGTTAATAATAATAATAATATTTCTCTCAGATACAGAAAAAAAAAATCAAAGCATTTAAGGTTCAATTTTCTGTTTTTGGAAAAATATGACATTTTTATAGTATACATCAAAAGCGCTCAAGTCTATTCAAGGGAAGTCCCAAGGGCTACCATCGTGTAACTTTTATATGCAACTCTTCTCTAACACACCTGAATCTAAAGGCTCAATCCCCTCATTTAGCTCAGCCGAGGCATGGCAAAAAGATCTCAATTGATTCAGGTGTGTTATTACAACTTTTATGCTCTTTTGTACTATATGCACTCTTTTCATATTGACTGTTGTATTTCTATCTTTAATGGTATCTTGCTTTAACTTTGCCCTTTATATTCTATATAAGCTACTGGAACCAGAATTTCCCTGAAGGAGTAATCCCAAAGGACATATAAAGTTGAGTCTAAGTCTAAGCTAAAAATGGGCTGCATCAAAAAGTTGCAGGATAGTAGCTCTTAAAGCACACCTGGTATAAATAAAACATTTATTTTGATGTGGTAAATATCTTTACAATGTTTGGGGCTTAAATAAGAAAGAAAGAAAGTAATCATGGATTGTTTATCTAAAGGAAGGGATGGATGGATGGATGGATGGATGAGCAAATGGATGGATGAATAGATGGATGAATAGATGAATGGAAGAATAGATGGATGATGAAGAGATGGACGGATGAATAGATGGATGGATGAACAGATGGATGGATGGATGAACAGATGGACGGAATAATGGAAGAATAGCTGGATGGGAGAATAGATGGATGGATAAATTGATGGTGACGATAATATGTTCAAGGATTCTGCACGTTTTTCTTTTTCGAATAACACAGAAATTCAATTAATACTTTCCCAGACTAAGTGGAAACCCTGACCTGCTTGTCCCTTTTCTTTTTTCAATAAAATAACACACGCCATGCTACTATTATTAAGCATAAGTGCACTACAAAAAATAGCACAATTGAATAAGCTTGTAAATTCCAAGAGTGAAAACTTGAGAGCATCCAATAAAATCTGAAAAACTATTTTCTAGGACATAAGACACTGAGAATATCTGAGTTTAAAGTAGCGAATAACAACAAAACCATTAACCCCAACACTTATATATGAACACAAAGTATGTTTGAACAGTGCTCTAGAATAAACAATATTTTATCAGTCTCTAAATATATTCATAAAAGTCCACATTTGAATAGCGGCTAGATAAACTTCCTGCTGAAAGTGAGCAGCTTGTTAAAACACACCGAGGATGTTAGCTAGCTAAAGCTAATAAACCCTAGCATGTCTGCAGGAAACATGGACTTTAAGCTCACCATGGTAGATTCCTGCTCTGTAACTGGCCCTTATTTGTTGACGCCATGTGTTTCGGTAACAGTGAAGGAGATGATTAGTTTTATCAGTTGCCAAAGCTGTTCTGGTTATAGTTTAGTTTTAATGATGGCGGTTTGCCGCGCTCACTGAGCAAATGAGCGTCCATACGTCACGGCGTACAGCCAATTAGCGGAAGCATTTCTGTCCCCGTGGGCGGGGCAACGTTTGCACGTTCTGCACTGCAAAAAATTAAACACGTTACTGAAACAAAATGTTACATACATTATTATTACTTTTTTTTTTATTATTATTGACCCCAAAGTATTTCCAGAACAAATAGAATACTTCTATATGTCGATGTAAATAATCCTAACATTAAGGCTCACATCAAAACCAAGGTTTTACTTAGAACTCCAGACTGCACACAAAGCTGAAATTACTGAAGTGGTACTTTAGATGAAACATATCAGTTTTTTTTTTAAATAATACTTTGAAAAAGAGTTATTCTCTGGCTATGTTCTCTACATGTAACATAAATCCCCCCAAAGCATGATGAGAATGATTTCTGTGTGGGGCTCATAGCATCATGCCTTTTCCTGATCCTAAAACAAAAATTAAATTTTCAGAACAGGCTCAGAAGGAATCCCAGTGCTATGCTTATCTATTAAAAATATAATTGGTAACTATTTTAAATATTAAAATTCTTCCCAATCATTATTTTATGCAAAATGACTTATTAGTGCTCATCAGTCCAACAGCTCACATATAATTGTCTGTGGATGAGGTGCTTATTAAAGCCTATCCTCATTTGAAGGAGAAACCTATAACATAACACATCGTTTGCTTTATAGAACTGTATCGAACGAGTAGATTCAGTGTTGATTTAAAACTACGAGCCCTTTGGATGCCAAGGCAATGGAGCTAAATGTTAAAAGGGTTAAAACACAGCCTATTTGTCAAATTGTTACAATGTTTCTTGATATCATACCATGAAACAAAGGCCTTTTGACCATTTTAATAATTACTTTGTAATCCTATCCAGCATTCATCCATTTTTTGTCACGCTTATTCCTGCTGGGGTTGCGAGGGGTGCTGGTGCCTATTTCCAGCAGTCGATGGGTGAGAGGCATGGTACACCCTGGACAGGGCGCCAGTCTATCGCAGGGCAACACAGAGACAAACAGGACAAACAACCATTGAAGCTCACACCTAAAGACAATTTAGAAAAGCCAATTAAATTTGGGGTTGAGATAAGTGAAAACTTTCAGAATTTTAATTAGTCATCCCTACTCAATGAATATTGCAGATATTCCTTGATTCCGTTATACATTTGGACTGTGGGAGGAAGCCAGAGCACCCGGAGAGAACCCACGCATGCTCAGGGAGAACATGCAAACTCCATGCAGAAAGACCCCGGGCCAGGAATTGAACCCAGAACCTTCTTTATGAACGAGGAGATGACACCTAAGGAGAATTTAGAGAAGCCAATTAACCTAACAGTCATGTTTTTGGACTGTGGGAGGAAGCCGGAGTACCTGGAGAGAACCCACGCAAGCTCAGGGAGAACATGCATACACAAATACACACACACACACACACACACACACACACACACACACACACACACACACACACACACACACACACACACACACACACATATATATATATATATATATATATATATATATATAGGTGTGAATGTTTTAATTAACTTAATTACTGTGGTAGGCATATCACCTTTCCACTATTTTTTTTTATTTGACAAGTTACAGTAGCTACTTGTACTTTTTGTTTGCAGTAATAATTATTTCTTTAAATAAAATTCTGCCATAAATATAAAAACAGACCTCATTACAGAAGATTTTTCTTGTAGATATTCTCAGTTTTCTATCCAGTCCTGCAGACCGAGGTCTTCTGCACTTTCTCTCGCGAGAGCGGCCCCTCTCGGCTGAGCCTGGGCGCTGCGATGCTGTTGCTGTGGGTTTGATTGACAGGAAACATGTCGGTGTGGTGGGAACGAACCGGGATGCAGCTGCTGCCAAGGGAGACAGGGAGTACCTGCATCCAGTCCACACACCACAACCTTTAAACCATCAACCAGGCTTCTCCTCCCGATCCGGCTGCTTATGATGCGCTGAGCAGCATCATCTCTCTTCTTTTTTTTTTTCTTTTTTCTTTTTCTTTCTAAGGGGACACCGATGGATGCTGCGTCCAAGCGCGTCCTCCGACTCGATGTCTTTACATCGTGCCTGATCTAGCCTCCATCCAGAGACACCTTGATGATCCAGCAGGACTGAGAACTACTGTTACAATGGAGTCCACTCTCTCACGGGTCAAATAAAACCTACAGCATCTCGTTTCATGGCGTTCTGCAGGTTGCTCTGTTCCATGGGATCATTTCTTTTTCCAAATCAGTGATATTCTCGCTCCTATAATTTAATTTATTTTTTATTTTAAAAGCGCAAAAGGGGTAAAAAAAAAATAAAAAAAAAACATCCACCGGTCGCTAAACTATGAACGAGGAGATGACAAAAAGCGAGGAGCAGCATCTGAGTTTGCAGAAAGCCTTGCAGCAGTGCGAGTTGGTGCAAAACATGATAGACATAAGCATTTCCAGTTTGGAGGGTTTAAGGACCAAATGTGCCACATCCAACGACCTGACACAAAAAGAGATCCGAACCCTGGAGGTAAGCACCGTTTTTTTTAACGCTCCTCCATCTCATCCATACACCAATAGCTGTCACCGGGCTCATTCTAGGCCACTCTGCATATTTATATGTACTTTTTTTTTCCTCCAGCGGGGCAACATGGCATTGTGCTGTCACTGCATTAATACGCACAGATTGATGCCAAAAAGCTATCCGGTTTTGTGCGGTGCAGTATAAACCTAGAGGCCACGGGGCTGCAGCGCGCTGTCAGAGACTTGCGCATTCTGCAGGTGGCGCGGAGAGAAGGTGGCTCTCCTCCATCAGAATAACATCTGAGGCCTATAGGCTGCCTGTGTTTACAAACCATTACCAGCGCGCCAGCCTGCGCATCTGCATCCAGACCTCAACCTTATGCAAGGCGGCCAGATTACTAAGTTACAAAATGTCGTTATCCCTTAATTAACCAGTGGGGTATTCTGTAAATTGCGTTACATAATACCCAGAATATCTCGATGTGTGTATTTTGTTGTTTAGTTTTGTTTAGTCCAGGGGCAGAGCTAGATGGGGGCCAGGGGTGGCCATGGCCACCCTTCGCAAATCATTGGCCACCCCTGTGGCAGAGGCGTAAGATTGGCCAGGCAATAATCAATGGCGTAACTATCAGTAAGCAGAGACTGCAGTTGCTTAGGGACCCCTGACCTCTTAGGGGCCCCGTCACTGACACCTGGTTTGCCCCCTATTCAATTGTGACCTAGGACGTCTCTTTGCAGGGGTAATGGTGTAAAAAATTCCTCTTAAACCCACATGATACTTTTTTGACTGATCGGACCTTATTTATATCACAACACATGGCAGATTTCAACATAATGGTGAGCTGTTTAAACACGACACCAACAGCAAAGCAGACAGTGGTACTTTTAATTACTATGTTAATAACTGTGTATAGTTCATTAGACGGTTGGTAAAAAATACATTCATATACAACATATAATATGTTTCAAACCGCAGTAAAGATCTTAGAAGAACGATTTATTGGAGTATTTTATTTTTTACAATACGGCTTGGAATTATGGGTAATCCAGAGCGTAGATTAAAACCATAACTGTTACGGACAATGTGTTTATGACGCGGGTTCTGGTGGGGTGGGTAGGTGATGGGGCTGTTGTACTTCATATGGGGCCCACCCAGATAATGTTGCTTACGGGCCTATTGTTGTGTTGTTACGCCATTGGCAATAACCAATGTACACTGAGGGGTGGCTGAAAGTGGATAGGCGCCAGAGCCTCAGGGTCAATCTACGCTGTTCCAGTAGGAAAAATAACATGCAAAACATCCATATTTTCTAAATAAAGACAAGCTTTACTTTCCTACAGCCTTTGCTAACAAGTAGATGCATATATTTAAACATCCATGCTTTCTAAATAAAAGGTATAGTGGATATAATTCTTTAAGTTTTGAGATCTGGGGCATTCCATCATCATTAATTACTTACTTGTATCAATAAACATTCTGCATAAAATTTATGTTTACAAGCACTAATATCTACATAAATGGATTATTTGATAATTTTTTATTACAATTGTTATTTATCTATGATTTCACTGAAGACTCTCAGATGACTTCCAGAGACACATTTTCTCTTTACCCCATATAACACAAAATCTTGTTCTAAAAAGAGCATGAATTCTGTATTTATCATCTTTTATGTTGGTATATTGATCTGCATAATTAACCACAGAAAATTTTAATGTTTTGAACATTCCCCTTCAGACTATTACTGCTGCCACCCTCTATATTAGAGGGCAAAAATGGTATGGGTGGCCACAGTGGTGGCCAATGATTGGGTAAGGGTGGCCATGGCCACCCCTGGCCCCCCATCTAGCTTCGCTCCTGCCCTGTGGCCACCCATACCACCTCTAATACAGAGGGTGGCTGCAGTAATAGTTTGAAGGGGAATGTTCAAACTTATTTAACATTTAAATTTTTCATATATCACAACGATTATCGATTATCGATAATCGATAACGATTATCACAATGATTATTGATAAAAGTAGGTAATGACAATAGAAAATGTTCACCCCAGAACTCAAACCTGAAATAAATTATTCCACTATACGTTTTATTTACACAGCACAGAAGTTTTAAGTATATAGCCATTTGTTAGCAAAGGCTGCAGGAAAGTTTTGTTTGTCTTTATTTAAAAAATGAATGTTGAGCTCAATCCTGATGGAACAGTGCAGATTGACCCTGAGGTTCTGGTGCCTTTCAGCCACCCCTCAATGTACATTGGTTATTGACTGGCCACCCCTATTAGGGTTTTCTGGCTACGCCTCTGGTTTAGTCAAAGCAGCCTGTGAAGAAACAGGCCATAAAGAGAGATAAGGTGAGTGAAAACTCACCAAGGTGCACTGTAGATCTGTGCGCAGCACTAAGGGCCTGTGAGAGTGTTTTTGGGTGATGTCTCAAGAGATTAAAACAAACACCATTAAGTGCAATGAGGTGTTCATAAAGTCAACACTGGGTATCTGTATGTGCCATCAAAACACACTCAGTCCCAGTTGGATTACAACTGAGATGCTGGTGCTAAAAATAGCCAACCATAAAGTCACCTGTGAGTGCCACACTTTGATCCCCACAGGAAAATGACCCTGGATGTAAATTCACACGCAATCATATAGCGATGTGTGAGTTTTTAAATATGGGGGATGATAGAGGAAAATTGCTTTCATGACTAAAACAGAACTATTGTTAAGTGTGTAAAACCAGCACTTAGCAGACAGGCTACAGTGTGGATAGGAATGTTTACTATGTTCACAGACAGTTTGGCAAAGCATTATGGGTGTTGGATTTAAGTCTGACCTATACTTTACTGTAATCTCAGTCTCTCCTGGTAGATCTGTTTTGAAATATTTTCCAAAATACAATGCTTTTTGTAACAAAAAGAAACAATTAGCTGAGACAAAATTTCATGGATGATTCCCCCCAGTTATTCACATTTAGTAATTATTGATATGATAAGATCCATATTATATCTACAGCCCCTATACAAGATTATAGTAAGCCTCAAACTTAAACAGTTGCATATCTATTTTTTATAACAAGCCACTACCTGTTTTCTATAATATTTAATAATGTTGGATCCTGCAGAAAGAGATTACCGTATTTAAATACTAACAGGGTTTCTACAAGATTTAGTTCTGCATACTAAGACAACTATGATACAAAGTGCATTTTGAGTCTGTTAATGTTCTATTATCTTGTAAAGGTCTCCTGATGTTTAAATCTATTTCTAACAAGGTTTCAATGGTCTTTGGAGGAGAAACAGTCCGGCAGCATCACAGCTTCTCCACTTTACGTAATAGTAAGCGTAGTGAGTTTTCACACATACATCATGCTGTTCACCAGGCCCATCTATTTGTTATTGGAAGCCTGATCCTTAGTGTCCGTGTTTATGAAAGCATGGCTCCAGTTAAAGTTCCATTTTATATTTATTCCAGTAAGACAGGAAATTATTATCCTGACAGGAGTTTAGAATGAAATACAAGCCGTTTTCATATTACCATATAGATAATGTCTAATAAATGTATTAAGGCTGCAGATGCTAAGATCTCAGTTTTTGCTCCCTTTTGGTTTGAGTCCTATTAACATAACTTTTCACCATACTTACCGTACACTAAATGCAAGTTAAAATGTTTTTTGTCTATCCTGTCAGTACTTAAAATGCCAACCAGATTGCTGCCAAAAGCAATCTGGAGGGACCAGGCCTTCTCAGTAGCCGGTCCCAAACAGGAATGATTTGCTTTTGCACATCAGACCGGCTTCCTCTTTGACCATTTTAAAAATCTCTTTTGAAGTCTAATTTTTCTCTCTGGTGTTTAATCCTCAAAAGCAAGTCTGTGTTGGTTCATTTTATGTTTTCTTTTTCCCTTTAATTTTCCATATTGTTTTTACTTTTCTTACTTATTTATTTATTTTTTATTGATCTTAGTGCTTAATGGCTCTCAAACAGAGAACAATAGTCAACAACAATTGCTTTGAGAACAGCTGGCCTAGTTATTGGTGCTTATATCAGAAATTTTAGATACAGGAATATAATTTGATTCTCACATTTTTGCTGATATTGGAATAATTTATTATATGAATAATATATCGGAAAACCCTCATTTTAAACTTTGTAATTATGGCTAAGAGTTTATATAGAGCAGAGATGTTTCCTTTTTGCTATTTCATGACATATAAAGACCAATGCACGTCCAAACTGCTTTACTTGAATAGCATGTTCTCTGGTGTTTTTCATTTAAAGAGTGGCTAAAAGGAAATAAGCCATTATATGATGTCAGTGCATTTATTTCCTGTAGAAACAGAAAGTTTTGGATTCTTATTTTAAAGGTCGCAGATGATCGTTTACCCCTACATTACCTAGTAACATTCAATTCACAGAAATTATCATGGGAGGAATAAAAAACATGGCATCTTATTGTTTTCTGTGAAATTTTAGATTGGATTTTCTTTAAAAAAAAATAGATGATTGTTCTGCTATAAAAAATGCATTTATTTATTTTTCTGAGTCTCTGTCAGTATCTTTGGATTTCTCTCTCCAATTATTATAATTACCAAACTTGATGTAATTATTGTAAACTGCAAAGAAGTTAAAGAAATATAGTGATTAAGAATATTTAGAAGAGCATTATGCAGGTTCAAAAGTTAAATATAACCTTTATTTTCCCCCATGCATACCCTTACAGTTGCCCCACATGTAAAATTAGTTATTCTGTATTTACTACAGTTTCCTCTATGTTCTCCGTTTGTCAGTTCATGAGAAAGCGTGAGGCGCTGCACATGTGGGCTAGTTCTAAAGTCAGTTTATTTTTTAAATAAATCAAATAATTTTTTGAGTAGTTTGTGTTGCTGTTGATTTTTTATTGTTTTTGCTCTTTAACCATATTGCTTGAGGCGTATATTTTAGGTTGATGTTGTCTCAACCAAGCAATGACAATAAACACCAATTGCACTGATCCCAGTAGGTTGCATTCCTGC